TGAGTTTACATGTTACTTTATAAAACTTTAAGATGCTATAACACAAATTTAGTAAGAACTCGACTCATGTGTCCACATCATACTTTCACAAGAATCTATCCACTGTGAAGAAAATAATAGGTGATATTTTTATGTAAATTAAAATGGGTGTCATAATCTAAGTATTAATTAAATTGAAAAGAACGCATCTATAATTTCATATTTTGCTGAAAAAAAATTGCTGCAAATATTCTGTTGTTCAATTTTGTCCCTAAAACACCTTAAAGTATGCAATAAAATGTTTTCTCATTTAAGCTTATGTTGCATCTAAAGAAAAGCACATCAAATGTTGTTGTATCCTTTCACTTTGACTAAATTAGTTTCTTCTTCTTAAGTAAGTTATTGTCCCTTTTACTTGCAAACAAAAAAATTACTGTTTATAAAGGCAACAGCAAAGAAAACTCATAGAAGTCAACTTTAATTTACATTTTCCATAAGTAGCCTTAGGTGCACTTACTTATGCCAACAACAAGAAAACAACAACTATAAGTACAAAAACAAAGAAAAATGTTAGGAAAAATTTTAAAAAATCTTAAATAAAGAAACCAGCAAAGTAGCAATGCAAGTTTATGGCTGAATTACAAAAACTTACATTCGCACATTCATACACACACACGCACACACACACGCTTACGTGTGCATTCGAATTTTGCTCACACATCAGAATTTTCGCCAGAGTTTATGGGTGCATGGGTGCAAAGTTGTGTTTTCTGAAATTACAACTTTTCTAGTCTAAATAACAAAAAAAAATACTCTTTTTTTCGCAAAAGTTAGAAGAAAAATTTACAAAATTTTGTTGAGTGAAAACGAATTCAAGAGGCACACTACAGTCCATAATTTAGGTGAGTTTATAGATTAGAGTGAGTGTAATAATATTTTCAAATTTTTTATTCAAAATGTTTGAGGTTTGCTAGTTAGATAATATATTGAAGTTGCTGGAGATAAAGGTATGGACGAACTTATAGGAATCGGAAGCAAATCAGTTATAGTTAGCTGTTATATCGGAGTTACTGCCGATGAAACTATGGTTGAGCTCTTAGGAATCTGATCAAATTGCAATTTCACGAAAGAAAATTAGAGAGGATGTGACAACATTTTATTCAAAATGGTTGGGATTGGATACTTATCTGCTCGTAGGATCCAGTTTAGCAAGCAGTTCTGCAAAATCATAGTCTTATTATTGAACTAGTTGATCTGCTCAATTTACTACGGGATGACAATGAAGCATGATTGCTGTTGGTGTAATATTTCTGTTAACAATCAAGTTAGTAATCGAAATCGTGGTTTGATATAAATTTGATTTTAAATAGATACTTTCATTCGCTCATAAGAGGTACATAACAATGTCCAAATATACAAATGACTTGTCAAATAAACAACCTCAAACTTCGCCTAAATCTGCGCAAAATGAATATTCCAGATATGACAAAACATTTGTATACTTGAAAGATAATAAGATTATTGGTTATATTTTATGTGAATACTGGAATAAGAGCACTTATTATTAAAAATTAATGTATAAAAATATAACATAAGATATATTTGTTTTCATTAAGTTAGAAAGTATCTATTGTTCAGTCGGGTTCTATATAAAATATGTGTTCGCGAACTGTGTTTATCGGTTTTACTCATTTTTGCACATATATCTACAGTATCTACAATTTCCTCCCCATCTACCTGAGTCACGGTCAAGCCTTAGATATACCTAGCTCAGTAGGTATTAAGCTTCTTGCTCATATCTCTTTCACCTACTTACTAGAATCAAGTTTCCACATTCCTGTGGAAGTCTTCTCCATCCATTACTAAGAGATAATTTAAATGGATTCAAGTTTCTCATAGATGACGATGCTTGTCTCGCGATGCTTGTCTAGTCTATAATTTTGTAGCCGGAAATTCTAGCGAAATTCTAGCGACTTCAAATGTGATAGTTTCGTTGAATATGCGACAGTTTTGACCGGGTATTTTTATTTTATTTAAGCAGGAAATTTTAGTATAGAATATAACAGTAGTTAACAGGGTATGGTACAAACCCTGTATAGCGCAATAAAGCTCTACGATTATTGTAGACATTTCGTGGTAACATTGACATTAAATAAACAGAAGAAAGCTACATGCTTTCCGAAAAAAGTTAAAAATGTGTTTAGTTAAGAATTTTCTAACATCAAATGAGGACTGTACCTACTTTAAACTAACATATATCTCAAAATAAAGTGCCCTGTACTTTTTTTACTCTTTTTGTTCTAAAAGTTCTTATTATGTTTCGAAATAGTTTATCTGACCTCATAACTCATTATTTTGCTTGGTCACAGTTCTTCTGTCTGTTCCTCTAATCCACACATAGGTGTGGATTGTGTCTCTGAATAGCATAACTAATTTAACCTTCTGAAAGTGTAGCGAACATATAAATAGCATAAAAAATATCTCAAAAAAAAAAGGAAAAATAAATAAAAAAAATTTACATGTTAAAAAAATGTTTATGCAACAAGAATACTTAAGACTTATTTCCTTGTGTTTTGTCATTTAAGCTGAAAATAATTGCAACTTTGCTTCTGAACTGCTACTTTTTCGCACATGCCTGCAACCCAAACACGTACGAATCTACATACTCACATGTGTGTGTGTGTATGTAACAATGTAGGTAACAACATATTTTTTCTTAACTGCAGCAGTTTCCGCTTCCGTTACAGTTGTTATTCTTATTATTTGAAGATTGTGTTGTTCTTGTTTGCGCTCTGCCAGCGCCGAAGGATAAAGAAGAGTTGCAGAAAACTTTTTTCCTTGTTGCTCGGAATACTATTTTTAATATCTCAGCATTAATTTAGGAAAATAATAATAAAAAAAGTTATTCGCTTTAAATTAAAAAACTAAGCCTTGATTAATTTGCCACTTGGCACAAACAGAAAAGAACAATTTTGCGCTTTATGAGAATTCGCTGAGTTTTCTCTCAAATGGAAGGAACTATGAATTATGAATAAAGAAAAAAATAATAGTTTTTTTCTCTTGCTATGGCAGTTGAAAGTGAAGGATAAGTTACTCCGAATGAAGCTGTATAACGACATTAAAATTGTTGAAATTTTCCTAGTGGGTGTAGTCAGGGGGCTCCAAATTTAATGTAATATATATTTAAGGGAGTGAGTTTTTAGCTGCGATGTAAAGGATTTTTTCTGATATTATACTCTCTATTATTTTCAATTGTGCAGTCAAAGTCATATCCAAGCATTAACTATAACTTCATATAAGAGACATCGACTATAACATCGACCAGAAGTTTATCTAACCTCAAAAAATGAGAAAGTTTATATATCTTTTTTGAATGCCAAAGAAAAGCTCTATATTCAAAACAATATTTAGAATATCCTGATTGGACTCATCACGGATTCATGTAGTGACTCTACATCATTCCTATTTTTAGATCCAATTGAAATAAAATCAGTATACTACTATATTATCAATAGCTTAAAAACTGGGTCTTTTAACTAGAATGAATAATGCCGCTACAAATAGAATAGTATTAAAATTTAACAATAAAAAATAAAAATATAATTAATTAATTAATTCAATTATTTTACAGCTGGTTTATGATTTCGTTCTAATATAAACACAGCAAATAAATTTGTTAATAAAATTTTCACAGCAAAATAACAAAAAAATTAGCGAATATAAAAAGTTAAATACGGCTTTGGGCCAGTTGGTTAAGGTGCGCTGATTCTGAGCTTCACATTTGGCAGGACCCGAGTTCGATTCCTGGTACTTGCAGTCTCAAAAATAATTAATTATAAATAATTAAATACAAGAATTATTTTCAAGACCAGTGATGATGGGTGGTCAGTATTTGGCAATGCTCGAAACAGCTGTATGGTCAGTCAAAAACTTAATTAATTAAAATAATATAAATTGAATTTTTGTTGTTGTAGTTCACTTATGTTCGAAAAAATCTCTAGAATGAATAAATATATAAAAGTGAAATTAAATGAAACGCTTATATATTTTCATTTCATCCCTCTTTCTCTTTCTATTTTCTCCTACTTTTAGTTTATAATCTATATTTTTTTATAGATTTTATGTCTCTACTTTATATGAGATTTATTATGTTTTGGTTGAATTTGTCTATGAAACGCGTATCATAGATCTACAGATTTTAATTGATTAATAACTATCTGATAAATTAAAAAAATAAAACTAAATAAACTCAATAAAATTTTTACTTCATTATTATGTATATAGTAATAAATAGTAGAGATCCATTCTAAAGAAATCCATTCTAAAGAGAACCATTATGGACTTAAAACTGGTAACCCTAACATCGTCTTTTAATAATCCGATTTTAATTAATAATTTTTGATCTGATCCAGAGAATTTTTTATCACACGTAAGTACTTTAATATAAAAATCATAGGTAATATTATTATATTGTCACTCATTATATATATAATAAATTTATAATTATTTTATACACAATAAAAATATTTTTGAAGGAATGTTCTTGGGTTGAAAAAATTCTTCGGTCAGACTTAATCGTTTTATATTTCAAATGTATTTATATTATATAGTTTTTTATAACTTATTATGCATTAATAATTATTTAAATACTAATTAAACTTTTTTCATATAAAAAAATATTTTTATATGAAATATTGATACACATCAATTTTAATATTAGTATATTTAATATAATAGTTTTATAATTTATTTCCACTTTATTTCCTACTTTTAAAAAGATATAAAAAGAAATAAGAAATAATTTTTTCAAATATTTAAAAAATTAATTAAATTAATTAAAAATTGAAATAAAAATAAATGTATAGTTAAATAAATATAGTTGAAAACAAAAAATATCAAAAAAAATCAAATATTTAAATACTTTTTTATAAATTTGAAGTATTGACTATTTTTTATATATTATATATCTTTGGTAATTATTATAATTAATCCATTATTAATTAATAATTCTTCCTACTTACCAAAATTTAAGCGGCTTTCTCATTGGATAACTTCTCGATATGGTGTAACCTGAAATTAATATTAAAAAAGTACGAGAGAAATTGGGATTAGTAATTTTATATATAATAAGTATTTTTATATATATTTTATTATCGTTTTAACATTTTAATAAAAAAATTGTGTAAATGTGTGTTTTGAATGTTTTTGCTCAAGTGATAAGAATATTCTTAGTGAACGAGAGCAGTGATAAGAAAATGATAAGTCAATACGCCCATAAAAATTTATTGAATTATATCTTCTGCCTTTGTTAAGCTAATCAATCTTATATTGATTTTTTTTTGGAAAATATTTCCATTAAAAAAATTATTTACTACAAAGATTTGAAGTAATTCTGTTAAAAATCTATAAATACATATCCATATGTTTTCATTGTCTATGGTGTGAATATCTGATCAGTGATGTGGCGATACGCCCTTTATTTTTAAATAACATTAAGTTGTTGAGATAATAATTATGCATATCTTAGCATTGATTTTGAAATCATTTAACTGATTTCTGAGAATTTTTATGTGGGTACTAAAATCAACTTAATCATATTATTGTATAAGCATATATTACTTATAAACTTTCAAAAGTTCTAAGATTTATGTTGAGGATATTTTAATTATAAGCTAATAAATGCGATAACTAAATTGATTTTTTTTTGTATTAAAATCTTATAGGAAAGGTATTTACTATTTTCCAGTGTTAAGTTGAGGTTGATAACTTTCTAAATTAATATAAGTCAAGTGCAGTAAGAGAAATAGTGAGCGAGAGTGTGAAGAAATTATTGATTTAGTGAAATCGATTTATAACTTTTATTAAATTACTTGTTAATTCTTGCAAATATTAATTTATTTAATTAAAATTTCAACTATATCAAAAATAGTTACTTGGATTAACGTACAAAAATTGATTCATTTCTAAATGAATCATTTCTGCCAATAAATGAATAAAGAAATACAGAAAATAATTCTTTAGACAAAATCTATAATAAATAGTTTTTATCTTTTATGCATATATATATACATATATACTTATATACATATATATAAATAAATTATTCTTATGTGTATGCATAATCATTAACATAATTAAGTAATTATAAATGAATTGATAACATTTTATATGTTATACACCCGCTAAAATGGATGGTAATATGAATACAAATCAATTATTGCTTCAGCCGTATAGTATGCAATATTACAAATACGAGTATGTACCGTTTATGTGGTGAGAGGAGGGTGAGATTATCTGATCGTTACGTTTTTTTTCAATTAGTGACCAAATAATTTCAAAATATTAGCAATTATTACTAATACTCGTGCTTTAAGGAACGCAGTCCTATGCTAAAAAGCCTATAATTGTATGATTCCAAATAAGTGAATATATTGTAAGTTATCTTTAATAATATCCTTACACATTACAGAAATTCTGAATTGAATCAGAGCTTACACTACAGGTATAAAAACCTTGAGTTTTGCTTAAAAATTAAGACTGTTAATATTTTCCACGTGGAGGTGGGATAAATGTGTTTCTAGCAAAATTATAAATTAAATAAAAATTAAAGTTAAATATTTCGTATATGTTTTTTTTACTGTATTCTTTAAAAAAATATATATTTGCTTTATATTTTTGTTTTTATTTTATCAATGGTTTTATATATCAAATTGAAATAGTTTTTTTTTCATAGTTTATTTGTTTTTTATGTTTGTCAAAGTTTGACAGAGTTTTTCACCAATACTTTCTTTCGATATTTTACCCTTAAAGTTTTACAGTTAAGCATCGAGCGTAAATTGTGCTGTAGCAGTTTGGCTTGACATAGCAGTGCTAGTGTTAGTCCTAACAGTAGTGCTGCTAACAGTAGTGTTAACAGTAGAGGCAGTAAATAAAGTTGCGCGTGCAAGTAAATTTTATTTTGCTTTTCTCTTCACATTTTTGCTTTTCACTATTTGATTTTTATTTGTTTTCGGCAGAGACACAAATACATGCCTTCACAGACACACATACAAACGCTGGCATTGCGCTCGTATATGTGTGTATTGTAGGTGGCAAAGGCATGCATGCTTTTATTGAATGTGGCGTATATGTGGCGTAAACTTTTACGTTACGTTAACAGCGACGTAAACGTGCAGCGTTTTTTTTCGATTTTTAATTTCTCATGTTGTACTTTTTTTCTTTCTTTTTTGATTTTTTTCAATTTTTTCAATTTTTCGTTTTACATTTTTCGTTTTCTGTTTTGCTTACGTTTTTATTTATATTTTTGTTTTGATTTTGCATTTAAACACAATTTTTAAGTAATAATTTTTTAAAAACGCGTTTTAAATAAATTTCACCACACAAACACAATCAAATAGTTAACATTAAGTAAACAATAAACGCAATAATTCGACGAAATTTGATTAAATAAAGTTGCGGGGGTGAAGGAAATGTTTTAACGCGTTGCATTAAAATGAAATTAAACTGAAAGTATTTTTTGTTTTTACGGTACTTAATTTTTCGTTAAACGATATAAACTACGTGCAGTGCATAAATTGGCCCGCCAAAAGTATGCAACGATTTTAATTTCAAACAAAACTAAATACTGCGCATTTTATTAATTCGACCGTAGGTATGCTATAGTTTTTTTTTACAGTTCTTGTTAAATGTGTGCTCGAAATTAAAGTTAATTTTAATTTAATATTTATTTATATTTGATTATTCATTTATTTTAATTTTATTTAAGTAAAATAATAGGTACGTTTCCAAGCAGCGCAGGGATTTTAGTAATATTTTCTATAGTTTAATGTAAATTATTTTAAGACTTCGAAGAATGTAATAAATTATAGAAAGTAAATAAAATGTTTTATTACTTTATCTAGCAGTTACATTAATAACAATATCAATTAATATAACTAGTTGCAATTAAGTATAAAAAAATACATAGTTTCTTATGGTATAATTTAAATTATTTTGCAAAGTTTGGTAAACTTAATAACTTAGATAAAGTATTAAAAAACTAAAGTGTTCAAAATACTTTTCATATTTCTGAACTAACAACATTTTTTTTATTATATAATTAGTCGCAATTTAGTTTCAAAATCATATGTAATTTCGCTTCAAAGAAAATTTTCTTTGAAGAGGAATTTTTTTTGATACAAAAAAGTGACTTATATGAATTGTATATAATAAAGTAATGTATAGAAAAATTATTTTCGATATGTTATGGAGCAAAATTTTAATTATTTTTAATAAGACAACTAACAACCAAAAACGAGTAAATAAACACAATTTTCACTTGAAAACATTTTACATATTTTAAAATTTAAATGGCTCTTCTAAGTTTTTGTGTTTTTTATAAAACTTATCATAAGCCTATAATAATATTTAAATATCAGTTGAAACTGTTAAGAAAATATTGTTAAAATTGTATTTCAATAAATCAAAAATATTATTATTTAAGTTTATAAGTTTTTTTCATATTTATTTTACTTTAAATAAGTTTAGGTGAACAAAATATTTTAAATTAATTTTATTTTTGAAATTAATTCTGTAAATTTTTATATAAAAAACTTAAAAGTTAGATTTCATATTTATTTTGTAAAGTTATGTATATAAATATCGCAGATGTTTCGAAGTATTTTTGACTTCTCTTTATACTGAGTTGGTGTACTTAAATCAATAAATAAGAATATTACGTGACTGGTGTTAATATATTACATATATATCACATATCACTGAGCACATATATTCATACGTTATAAATTTTTACCGATTTTTGAAGTTCAGATTTTATTTTTTAATCTGAATTAATAAATATCTACAAATTAATTAAATATTTATATAAATTAATTACAATGGTTCTATGTTAATAATAAAAATAAGAAAAAAACACAAAAATAATTTTTTTTAATATTAATAATTCTATGGTTCATACATTATAACATTAGTACACAAACACAAGTCTATTATAATACAAATAGAAATAAATAAATTTTTACTAAATTCAAAACCGAACATAAATTTGTTGCAATTGCATACTTTCAGGAGTGAAAAACAAAATCTTGTACTTGAAATTATCCAGCCCAGAAAATTATACATTGATTATTAATAAGTCTGTAATATGTTAAAAGTTTTTGTACTCCTACTCTGGTAAAAATTTAAAATAATGTTTTGTTTATTCAAAATTGTTAATATATTTTACACATTACATAAAATTTTACTTGTTAAAATATGTAAAATATTAAGAAAAAAAAATTAAAACGTGTATAAAAATATATAATAAAAATAGTATAAAATTATAAAAATCGTTTCTCATTATTTTTTGTATAACAATGATAGAAAGTTATTGACCAATTAGGCTAACACAGTACGAAATTAATAGTTTTATTTATAAAGTAATAAATATAAAACATATTTATTTATTTTTTTATATAAACTCAATCTTGTTGTACTTTATATATATATATATCATTAAAGATAATTGCATTCAAAATTATATATAAACATCGTCCTATAACATTATAATACACCATATATAAAATATTTGAATATCAATTAATAATTTTGTATAGCTTTTAATACACTAAATGTCAGTGAAATAACTTAATTGCAACTATTATGTATATTTATTTATATTATTTAAGCTATTAACTAAATTAATTTTATTTAAACATAAATAGAAATGAAAAATATTTTGTATTAATTTACCGTCGGTAGAAATTTCTAAGCATTTTTTCTTTAAGACTTGCAGGTTTTAGTGGGAATACATCTTTTTTATTTTGTCAAATATCATTTAAATTATGATTCAGTACTTTCTTTATAAATTTTTAATTTTTTATGGTATATTTTTTTTTTGTTTTCTGTAAACTGTTTATTATAATATTTTATATTTTGTCTTTTTTTCAAAGCAATTTATTTTCGTTTTTTCCATCTAAAACATTCCATTTATCCAAATTCTAACCATTAAATTTTAGGTAATTTTTTTTGACATATTTCGAAATTTCTAAAAGTAGTAAAAATAGGAAAATTTATGATATTACTTTTTAATG